GGACCCATGTTTTTCCCTCCTGCGGGAAAACGGGAAGTGTTTTAAAATGGGGGGGGGAAGTAATTTCTTTGGGATAGATAGATTGGGGAAGCCGTTTTTTTTAACCCCCTTTTTGGGGAAAAGTGGGAAGGAACGTTGGCCCATGGGTGTTCGGTCTTGGGGGGGGAAAAATGCCCCTTCCTTTGGGGGAGGGGGGGTCAAGGGTTTACCCGTTAAGGCAGCCAAAACAAAGGGGTCCCCCCCCCCCCCCCCGTTATCGTCCCTCCCCCCCCCGCCTCTTTCTTCGGGAAAAATAAGGGCAGAGGTATGGCATAAGTAGGTGCTGTGGTGTGGGTGGGAAAGCTCCCAGGAACAGAATGGTCTGTCTGACAGGAGGTATAGCAACCGGCAGTGAGTGTTGTCCACTCGCACGTTTAGCTCTCCCTGAGCTATTCCTACTATAGAACTGATGCGCCGAAGTGGCAGACTTGACTATAGACTACAGGAGGAGGAGGAGTGTGAATGTTCTGTTTGCGTCTGTCTGTCTCTTACAAGCACGCACCACGCAGATTATTCGATTATTCCTATTCGCCCTTATTTAACCTCTGCTTTTCGTCAATACATACTATACTTATCTCGTACTTCGTACTCTTTTTGCTCTTTCTGTTCATTCTGTTCTTTTTCGGCAAAAATATCTGCCGAAACGAACAGAATACACGTCAGCATGTCTGTGTTCTTCTGAGTGAGAGTGTGCGACAACAATAGGAAAGAGATGATGATAAGAGTGGTGACTGATACGTGTTGGAGTAATTGCGGTACAAGAACGACTCTACTGCATGGGTTTATGCGGTGTTGTGAAGGCGTTGCCAAGTCTGTAACAGTCAGGTGAAGACAGATTGGGCGTCTGTGTGGATAATAAGATCACTCTGTGTGTTTGCTTACCTAGCCTCGCATCACATCCCAGCTACTTTGTAGCTACGGCTAAGGAATAGCTGTACAGCGACTGCAGTGTGACAGGGCTGTTGCCTCAATAAACGTTTTTTTTAGAAAGTAACCTATTGTGAATGCCACCTCAGACTGTAGTAGATGGTGACGTCAGATGACCTGTCGGAGATCTACCTTCGGGGTGTTGCCACAGATAGAGTCAGTGTCGAGTGGATGCTGAACCTTGCTTCAACACAAGGTCGCTCCCCCCCTGGTTCACAACACAACTATCCGTACTCGTCAGCCTCTTCACCAGAGGTTGAACCGGTGTGTATCCACACCACACATCCCAACGGGAACTTGCTCACACGCGAACCTGGAGACAACCGTCTCATAGTGGCGTCAGCGGCGTTACGTGTGTTGGTTGAGTTCCTGGCGCGGTGGTGGCATTACTTTGCCATCATCATGGCGAAAAAGAAAAAAAAAATAGTCGAAGAGGTCACCCATCCGGAGGAGTGGCAAGACGGGGAGCAGCTGGTCGATTCCGAGCCGGCGTCGCCCGCCGGCCCGTCGTCGCCGTCTCCGTCGTCGTCGTCGTCCCCGTCGTCGGACGACGGGGGGCACCGGTCCGACCAATCATCGGGAGATGATGATGGGTTGGACCAGCTGTGGTCCTTCGAGTTGCTTGAAGCAACTTGTAAGGCGGAGGTAAAAAATTATCTCCGCGCGTTGAAGCAGAGGCGGACGCCGCCGGAGCTTTCGCCAGCGACCATCGCTTGGCAACAGCGTCTCCTGACGGAGTCGATGGGAAGCTCATCGTCGGTCGCCTCCGCGTCGTCGTCGTCGTCGTCGTCTCGTGGAGCCTCGTCTCGTGGCGCGGATACATCTGCGCGTTCCGTGGTAAGTTCAAGCGTTCCGTTTTTGGCTCCGTCGTTGCCCGGGCCGACACCGTTGTCCCCCGGAGCACCATCGTTCGTTCCGTCCGCACAGACAACACAGGTTGCACCTACGAATGCGCAATCGTCCGTCGTAGCACCGTCTGTTACTTCAACGTCGCAGGTGGCGCCTACTGCTGTAGCAACCGAACCCCCCGTTCGTACGTTTCTACAAGCAGCTACCGTTTCCATATCCGCGGCTGATCTCCGCAGCGTTCCTAAACTCACAGGAGACCGCACCGAAAATGTCATCGAAATTTTGAACCATTTTCGTACGGTGGTTGGGTTGAAAGCCGCAGCCATCAACCCGGATTCGTCGTTTGCCGATGGAGTAGCCCTCAAACACGTTGCCCTTGTGGGAACGGGAGAGGTGTTGACTCTGATTCAGCAGATATTGTCTGGACAGATTGACTGTTCTAAGGCAAGTACGTTCACGGAGCCGGAGGAAAAAGGGTCGTTTCCCTCTCCGACCACGTGGCATCCCATGTGTTCCGTGTTGCTTGATTCCCTCCTTCCCGCAAATTCCGTTGAAGAAGAGGCACACAATCTTGCCACGTTCGTCCAAGGGCCGCAGGAATCTGTTTCCTCGTATGCTCTTCGTTTCCGTACTGTCATGGCACGGTTCCAAGCTGCCGTCGGTCGCGATGGTAGTCGTACTGCTTGGAACTGCATGACAGTGGCTCTGTGGCAAAATGGGTTGACGCCATAAGTTCGTAAACTTCAACGGGGGTACACTCCCGTAAAGTCGCTCAAAGAAGCCATAGACCGAGCGCGTCGTCTGGAGGAGTCGGAACCCGTTTTAACTGTTTCGGCAACTCACTCCGTACCGTCTGCCACCGCTCGCC